AGTCTCTCTCAAAAAGACTGATATCTTTCTAATAAAATAATAATTTAATTTTAAACTTTCAATTTTATCATTAATTATAATTTATAATCACATAAATATCAATGACTGTTATATCATAAATTTAAGTCTTTCTTTCTTGAATTTTTATATACCTATTCAAAATGCATTACATAAAATTGGGACGAAGAGACTACTTTAAAGTTATGTTTAGTTTCTTCTATAAACGAACAAAAGCACCAATATAAATATGTCCCCCAATTGATTTAATTCTCCTTCTTTATCGGAGATAATTTGAACCTTAATTTCTCTTATAATTTTCACCGACTTTATTGACCGCCGCACGAAGCCAAATCATTTATCTCAAAATATTCTTTATATAATGAAACTACAACTATCACTCAAACCAACTCTATAAGCCTCTATTCGTTTCTCATTCATCAACATGATAACTTCATATCCTACTACAACTAGTCCCATAACCTCCGTGGATTGCCAAAACCAAGTGCGTTCGTGGAGGTTTCTTCGTTCACTTATGAAACTTCTTATTCCTCGATGCAATTGCATCTTCGTTGAAGAAGAAAATGATGATACAAAACACATACCCTACTTCAAACACAACTCCTCCTCCTCCTCATCATCATCATCTCTCACTATTACAGGCACAATCTTTGGTTCGCGTAAAGGAAAAGTCAACTTTTGTATCCAGTCAAACCCTAATTCCACAAACCCTATTCTTCTTCTTGAGCTCGCGCTTTCAACTTCTTCACTTGCTCGTGAAATGCAAAAGGGGATAGTGAGAATCGCGCTTGAGAGTAAAACAAACGATTACTCCTCTTCTTCTTCTTCCTCCGCGTCTCTTTTGTCTATGCCAATATGGAGGATGTATTGCAATGGAAAGAAAGTAGGGTTTGCAGTTAAAAGAAAACCTACAAAAGTTAATTTGCAAGTTTTGAGACAAATGCAGTCAATTATTGTTGGGGCTGGAATTATTCATGGGAAAAAAGGAGTTGTAAAAAAAGATAATGATAATGATGATGATTTAATGTATTTAAGAGGAAAATTTGAAAGAGTTCATGGATTTAATGACTCAGAGTCTTTTCATTTGGTTGATCCTGAAGAAAATATGGGTCAAGAGCTAAGCATTATCTTTCTACGCTCTCTTAATTAAAATTAGCATCTCCAACACTAGGATGGTTGAGATCTCTCTATGCTTAATTAGGCCTCTCAGGTTCGAGTCCTCGAGAATGAAAATGGGCACGACAATACGTGAATCTAAAATTAATTGAGCGTAATACAAATATCGAACACCGGACGAGAAAAGCCAAATGAAAAATTAATTAGCATCTAATTAGTAGTGGTGTTCTTCTTCTTTTTTCATTTTCTATTTGGTTCTAGGACCTTTTTTCAGTGGTTATGTAAACGGACCCTTTACTATGTATTGTAATATCTAAAAAATGTGAAATATAATTGGAGGGAGATGGAGGTTTAACTCTTTACTTTTATTTATAACTAAGTACGAGCTTAATATTTTAGTTTTTTTTTAAATTTATGTGATATATGTATTATTTAGAAAGTTAACTTTAATATGATTTTTAGATATTTAAGTTGTTAATTATTTTTTGTTTCTGCAAATTTAATGTAAAGAGGTTCATTAAGATGTTCATAATTAAAGTATTTTTTATCATTGATTGTTGATTTTGTATTTAAAATAGTTACAAGATATAAATAAATATAATCGACATTCAAAATAATAAGCTATAACTAAAGAATATGAATTTAAAACTAAAAGTCATAGCTAAAACGGATTTTATAATTTCGAGAAAATTATACACTAATTAAATTAGTAGAACAAAGAAATAATTTTTAGTTTATGTTTTTTCAAAACACGCGTGCTTCTGCGTGTAGTCTTGAATTTAAAACTAAAAGTCATAGCTAAAACAGACTCCATAATTTCGAAATTAAAGTAAAACAGAAGAAATGTTTTAAAAAAAATATTTACGAAACACGTTAAAGCAGGCACATCGACCGAGACATGTCTGCTTCAACGAGAACTCTCTCTTATATAACAGAATAACGAAAGACATCATATAACAAAATAACGAAAGACATCATGATGTAAGTGTGTTATTCCTTACATTATAGATGTTGTCACGTCTTAAAATCCGAATTGATTTGGTTCCACTGCATTAGAAGGAGCAATTGTGAGTGTCTCAACGAGATTTCAAGACGCTTTATCGAGAAAAAAGATTTCCCAAAATGCAATTTCATAAGAGAAAATGGACAAAAATTACAATTATCTTTAATAAAATTATATGCTTAATTCTCACAATCATGTTTTTAATTTGTTAATAATAAAATAAAAGTTGGACCATTTCTTGATTTGGGCATTATCGTTCTCGCGTAGAATTATATTAATCTTTTCTATGTATCTTTTCAATTTTGTTTTCAATTATGTTTCTCATCCACATAGCTTTATTTTATTCATTCTAAGGAAACAACGAGAGATCAAGATTTAAACTTAATACGTCAATCTTTTAATGTTTTAATGTTAAATTTATTGCACTTTGAAAGATTATTTTAATTTGAAATTTTGCTAAAAATTTTATTAGATTTTAACATATATGTAAAAAAAATATTAAAGTTCAAGTGAGCTCACATGAAACATACCTAGATTTGTTTTACTCAATTAAAATATATTTTTATTTATTTAATTATATTTCTAATTAATAAATTGTACTGCTAATTAGCTGTATTAATTTTGAAACAAATTCTGCAGGGTTAAAAGGAGTCTGATCAGAAAATATGTTTGTGTTGGGTTAGTGCGCTACTGAAAAGATGCTGCCTTTAATTTTGTTTTTATGAGCTGTTTTTTGGGATATTAATAATTTTACAAGTTGATGTGAGTAGTAGGTCATAGTGAAAATGATTTGATAATATAAATTAATAGCGGAATTAACTCTCTCATCTATCATATTTGATTTGTCAAAATTTAAAATGTTATAAGCAAATCAAAAGTCACGAGTCTTCGTTGTATATTATATCACCCAAATATATGTGATCTAATATTTATTTTTAAATTAGACGTCTCATATTTAAACTCTTAGAATGATGAATTTGGTAAGGAGTTATTACCCGTGGTAGACCTACTCAATCCAATAAGTAAGTTTTAAAAAAGAATTAACTAGATGAAGGGCCAATTGACATTCTAGGTTAATCTTGATCATTAGATTGGGCTATGGGTGTTAAATAGGCGGATTGAGTTGAAATTAGAAATATTAAAATGAGTTCAATGGAAATTGGGTTGGGTCTTGACCCGCCCAAATTTACTTTGGGCTAAAAATGGGTTGGGTCTCGATCCGCCCAATTTGACCCGATTAATCTCAATAATTTAGCATATTGATATTTAACTTTTATAATCACAATTTGAATTTTCCCTCAATATTTTTTTGTCAAAAAAGTAACAAATGAATAGATAAATCCTAAAAGATGTTAAATAGATAATAGGGATGATGCCCAAGTACCCCCTCAACCTATGCCTGAAATCTTAGAGACACACTTATACTATACTAAGGTCCTATTACCCCCCTGAACTT